GTATTAATACTTTATTATTTATTTATTTATTGTATTTTGACTGAAACGTCTGTCCTTAAAAATGAAGCATCGTTTTGCTAACAAAATAAAAAAAAGATTTATTATTTTATTGTTTCTCTTAAATCTGAACTAAAATATGACTATATGACAAAAAAGGGGAAAAAAGTTTTATTTACTTTGCTGAACGCTAACCCAATAAAAATAACGTCAACTGATTTGGACATTAAAATATAAATAATTTTATATGTTAACCATAAAATAAACAGTAAATAATATTGCTTTTATTTATTTATGATTCAGGATCTTTTGAAAAGCCTATTCTCCTCAAACATAACTAAAATTCATCCCAGTTCGTTGGACCAAGTTTACTTTTTAAGAAATCTTTATATAAATGCATGTTTTAAATGTCAAACTTTCACTGTAAGAGTTAGAATAAAATCTATTGATGTTTAAACACTGGAACTAATTTATTTTGTTTTTAAAAAATCAGGTAGTTTTTACAGTTTTAACCATTTTACAGAGTTTATTTTAAAGATGCTCCTAAAGAGCTGAACGAATAAAAACACGAGATCATTTGTAGTTTTTATTTTTTTCATTAGTAACAAACAAAAACAGATGAAAGAAAAAGTAAAGTGTCGTTCCTTCTATGCTTCAACCTTATTTTCTAATGAAATAATAAATACATCTGGAACATAAAGTCTGGACTCAGCTGGTTCTGGTTCTGCTCTGTTTTCTACGTCTGCAGAAATGTCTCATCTTGTGCTAAAAGGAACCCAAACAGTCCCAGAACCAGAGCCGATTCAGCCTGCCAGCTCAGTGTCATCATGCAGGTCCGCTTTCTTCAGCTCCCAGGTTCAAGCTTCATGTTCTGATTCTGGGAGGGTTTTATTTTAAACAAACAAACAAACAAACAAACAGGGTTGGTTTGTCTGAACGTAAAGGTTGATGAATCAGAGAGTCGAGCAGCCGCTTCAGGCTGAAGGGTTCTGAATGACAATCAGGAAATAATCCTTATCTGTGGAGGAAACGGATCAGAACAGTTGGGTCAGACTGGGCAGGTGAAGCTCAGGATCATCACAGCTTCAAAGAAACAAGACGTCTCACATCAGAAGTTCTACAACAGTTTGTTCCTGTTTCCTCAGACAGATCATTAAATACATTAAAACAACAGTTTAATAAACAAACTGATGATGATGATGATGATGATGATGATGATGATGATGATGGAGGATTGTTCCTCACTGAGACCTGAAACCTCCTGAACTTGAACTCACTGCAGATGAAAGCTAAAACTGGTTTTGCTGTGAGCCTGTTACCTGGAGCGATCATGATCTCATTCTTCTTGGAGCGGACTCTGAGGAAGGTGAGGTCGTTCTGCGGGTCGATGTCTCGCACCGTGCTCCGGGCCTTCAGCACCAGCTGGTGGATCTGAGCGGCGTACTGCAGCGTGCTCTGGTTGTCCAGGGTCGTCTTGATGGGGATTCCTGAGGACGAAAACAGTTCAGACACGTTTACGTTTTTTAGTATTAAAGTCGTTTTTATCAGACTTTTCTTGTGAGATGTGAGTCTGACAGCTGAGGCTCGACCAAACCGTCCAAAAACACAAATAATCTCAAATAATCCCACAAAAGAACGGTTCAAAACATCTCATTTGTTTATGTCTTTATTTAGAGGCTGTATCATCATTTTACAGGGTTCCTACAGCTTAAATTTAAGACTTTTTAAAACCTCTTTAATGCCACTTGAAATTTATTTTAAGACCAAATTCACAAAACAC